ACGGTCTGTTTTCCTGAGTCCCTAAATAATGACATCAATAATATTATAGATACTTTTCTAGATTACTTATTCAAGCCAGCGATGGATGTGAATATCAGGTCTGCATGGTGATGGATGGGGTTCGATAATTGTGACGAAACCTATTCTGCTCTCTTGCTCTAAAAATTTTTAGGTGATATAAAACTCATATAGGATAAGAGTTCGTCTATAGTCTGTACAAAAAGGAAGAAAAATTCAAGTCAGCGTTACTGAAACTTCAAAAAAAGTAAGCCAACTAAAAAACTAAAATAAATTTATTGAAGCATTTCGCAAATTTACACAACATTACTAGTTAATTTGTTACGTTGGACCTTCAAGGAAATGAAATCAATTTATGGACAATCATATATACCGACATATCTTGCATGACACGCGATGGTGGAATTCTATTTTAACTCGCGCTTAAATAAATAAATTAAGCCACTATATAGCTGATGCGGATTACAAGATGGCAGATACGGGAATATAGCTATAACTCTCACGCTACTTGTATTTATAAATAGAGCAAGCTAGAAAATATATGCATCGAAAATCGGGGCTAATCGATCAAATCTCTAATTCCACCACCAGACATCTTACGGTCAATCAGTATTTAATTGAATGTTCTGCCGTTGAATCAACGCCAACTAAACGTTACCTCAGATAATTAATTGAGGGCTTTGCCTCGAATGAAGATGTTAAAGTCATTGAAGACTTAAAACATTTATGTGCTTTTAAGTTGAAATTGATATTATTATGTTGGAGAGATTTTTAATTGTCATGCTGAATTGATGTCGTTTGTCGGTATCTTGAATAAAACGATCGAGGCTTCGCCAATCCGATGCTAGTCGGATTACTTCTTATGCAGTCAAACATCGATCTTTTATAGTGTGTAGGTAAATGCAGTTACATAAATAATGCATTGGTATTACTGTTAAGATACAGTGATACATCTTGATTATCTGCATAGGAAGGGCCCGTTATTCTCAGGCGGAATATAAAATATTTGTTTAAACTTTTGGAACGAAAACTTAAGTCTAGATTCTTGAATTTTGGTTCTGGCAATTGCCGACATGCAGCCATGCATGTTCCTATTAATGGAGCTCTACAATAATTGAAATTCCTATTATTGGAGCTATACAATAATTTCCAATTAACTGAACTACACAATAATTGAACTTTTTATTAATGGAGCTATACAATAATTGAACTTCCTATTAATGGAGCTATTCAATAATTTCCAATTAACGGAACTACACAAGAATTGAACTTTCTATTAATGAAGCTAAACAATAATTTCCAATTTATCGGAACTACACAATAATTGAACTTTCTATTAATGGAGCCATACAATAATTGAACTTTCTTTTAAGGGAACTACGCATTCAATAAACTTTCTATTAATTGAACTATACAGTAATTGAAATTTCTATCGATGGAAGTATACATGCAGCGGGACTGGAGCTCGAGTTTATTGTGTAGGAAATATTGATGGATGGAAGACGAGCATTGCGGCGCACGGTCTCTACACACAAATTCATTCAAGAGAGGAGGGAATTTTGGTGAGCATTACCCTGACTTTGCAGCGTCACGAAGCTATCGTTAATCATTTATTGTGCGGCCACGCAGCCGCTGCCATCTCTTGACTGCCTCGCCCAACTACTGCGCCTAGCCATGCCACTACTGCGCCCAGCCATGCCACTACTGCGCCCAGCCATGCCAGTACTGCGCCCAGCCGTGCCACTACTGCGCCCAGCCATGCCACTACTGCGCCCAGCCATGCCACTATTGCGCCCAGCCATGCCACTATTGCGCCCAGCCATGCCACTACTGCGCCCAGCCATGCCAATACTGCGCCCAGCCATGCCAATACTGCGCACAGCCATGCCAGTACTGCGTCCAGCCATGCCACTATATACTGCGCTCAGCCATGCCAATACTGCGCACAGCCATGCCAGTACTGCGTCCAGCGCCAGCCATGCCACTACTGCGCGCAGCCATGCCACTACTGCGCGCAGCCATGCCACTACTGCGCTCAGCCATGCCACTATTGCGCCCGTCGCACCACTGCGTCCTTATCTTGCTGATTCTGCTTCCCCTACGACCAACAAATCTATTGTTTCTCATCATTACTTCTAATCGCATTGCTGGATTGAAAACCGGGCTTGAACAAAAGACACTACCGTATATATAATCGCAAGTCCTCTTGTGTCAGCAATATTGTCAAAACAATCTTTTCTGTGCAAACATATACTCCAGAGTTCAAATTTCAAATTAGTTTCGAGTCCTGTGTGTTAATGGAAAATCTGTAGGATATTATCTGTATAAATCTGCATATTATCTAATTAATCTGTAACATATTGCCTGTGTACATAAAAGGAAATTAATTGAAAAGCTTAATTTGGTGGAGGGTTATTCTAAATGATGGAACCAAATTTTTTTAATTCGGATATATCAAAGTATAACTTAGTTCAGAATGAATATTATTATGTCTCATCATGCGTATAGACCGACTTCCAATTAAGGTCCTCTCTTGGTGGAATGCTTTTTTTTAGTGAATCATATCGGTATGGATCGGATTTTTGGCAAGAAATTCATAATTCAATATCCTCAATAACTGTCGAATTATTGAACGGTATAAAAGGTTTCAGAGTTCAGTTAGGTTATTTATATACTGAACTTGTTAGTTTTCTTATTCATGAAAGTGGAAGGCATCGCAAAACGGACTATATTCACACTTTATGTCTTGTGCAATGATCGTGATAATGCATTGTCTCATGGATAGTTTTCTGCTCGCAGGGCCAAGTTTAATCTGTACCGCAATCCCCATGAAATAATTGCCGAGATTACAAACCTATAACTGTAACCTTCATGAACATATTACAGTGACTCCACGAACTTATTACTGAGACTCCACGAACTTATTACTGTGACTCCACTACTGAGACTCCACGAACTTATCACTGAGACTCCACGAACTTATTACTGAGACTCCACGAACTTATTATTGAGACCCCACGAACTTATTACTCAGACTCTACAAATTTATTACAGGTTCCACCACGAAGTTATCAATGTGACTCCACAAATTTATTACAGTAACCCCCACGAACTAATTAATTTGACCCCTTAAATTTATTGCTGTAATCACCACGAGCTTATTACAGCGACTCCACGAAATTATTACGGGAACCCCGAGGAATAACCGAAAATTTCACATGACGGCATTTTACTCGAGGCAATGATACATTCTAGAAGTGAAATGCTTGTTGTCGAAAAGCGGTCTGAACAAAACAATGTCTTCTTGAATTCAACACTGTCTTACGTACGTTGAATTCACTTAAAATTCGTGATGGCCATTTAATTTACTCTGGACAAATTTCATGTTCGTGTCACTTGGAGCTTAGTTTTACAGTGTCACTATCTGGGAGTTTAGTTTAGGCTCTCTGTAATTGAGTTTGCTATATTTAAAAGTATATTTATTAACTATAATTAGTGATCTATAAAACATTAAGTATGACATTACTTTCCGATAGCCTACGTACGTTGAAACTCCTGCAAAGACTTCATCGTGTGGCTTCATTGTACACAGTGTCGTCTTAGAGGAGCCTTGCATTGTTCATTGTTTTTTGACAATCTATTGTGATTGTTGAACAATACCTGTCGTTTGTTGACGGCGCTGAAGGTCAATTGAAGTTCTGCTGCACCCACCCTGAGATCAGACTTGGTCCGTGACGTCCATTTCAGCAAGACGATATAAAGCGATGTTTACATAAATAAACCTTAAATTTTTTGAGTGCACTCGGCACTTTTTTCATTCAAACTTACAATTCTTATGTTTGAGTTTAAGATTTTCAACTGTTTTAAACAAGGCTGACTTGCTATATAGTGTTGATTGCGTCTCCGCCATGGCATACTACTATTTTCCGTTCTATATATACCCTATTTTATACTCTGTCATCCGATGGTGATACGCCTTATCTGTGGCTGCATAATTAAGTAAATTATGGTTACGAATTGAGCGTAAAGTTGATTTTATTAATTTTCAATGAGGCATGACCGTATTTTTGAATTATTGAAATAGACATCGTGTGAGGGAAACAGCTTGGCTGGTTTTATTTGTATTGTCTTATAATTTGACGAGGTGATCTTACCAAGCTAAATTTATTTCCTGGTGCATTATTTAAGAGCTTAATTTACTGGTGCGCCGGACTCGTATATATTGATAATCGGAGAGAAAATCTCAACTTTTAAAATGTTCCATTTGATTGCGACATCTCGTGTTCGGTTTAATTGGGATAATCTCAGTCCCGGAAGCTGTTCAAATTTACAAGCATCATTCTCGTTTGAATCTTGAGTTACGAACGTAACGTATATTCGTGAACGTACGATCGAAGACGTACAGCTGTGCTACCTGCGATCATTAATCTGAAGTGTTGTTGAGTGCAGGTAATCCGAACATGTGCTACCTCGCCCTGGTCTGCTGCTTGTTTTGATCTTGTGGTGCCGTCTATTATAGCGTTAACACCATTTCTCATGCCCACCTTCACCGACACAAGTGGGCTTTTGCTACTGCCACCCTTGACTTTCTTGTTAATGTCATAGCCCTGCGGTTAATTATTGAATTCTTTGCATTCTTGTTAGTTGATGTCCCTTAAATCTTGAATGGAAATCTTGTAGACATCATTTATAACATTCGTCTTACTTATGATCTTCTTGATTCGGCTCCATTGAAAAACTTTCTCATACATTTTTTCTGCAAAACCATTTATGCAAAAACCCTGCTGGAAATTTAGTTCAGGCGTTAGCCAATTTGCTGATATATACGGACTCCGTTATAGACTCTGCAGCGCTCAATTATCTAAAAAATATCCTTACATATTACCTAGTGCAAATATTTACAATAATTAATAGAATGCCTAAAACCTAAGTTTCAAATCCTGCATTCCAACCGTAACGATATATTTTTTTATTCTCTTCAGGTGAACACTTCCGATTGTTCGACTGTGATATCCGTGAAGAGTTCAAGCCTGAATACCATCACACATCTCCCTCCGTCGTCTCATCTGAATCATTATCCAAGCACGAACTAAAGGAAGAGCTCGTCTCAGACGAGGGTCTTGAAGATATCTGTCGTCCCTCTCGCAACGAACCCTCATCTCAGTACTCAGAGTATGACCACTTGCTATCTGAACCTACTTGCCAAGTTGGACAAAAAGGGCAAAAGTCAGACAAATTCACAACTAAGGACCTTTTTCATGAAGCAGCCGAAGCTCTCCTGTTAGATACTCTGCCATCGGGAACGAGATTGCCTGAAGGCTTCTTGCCTCTCGCGAACTGTGCAGATTCGCGGCCTACTGCGGGTCCTGTTTCCTCTCTTTCTTCAGAGATTAAAATCGAGGAACCCTTTTCTTATGACCCTGCTGGAAATTTAGTTCAGGCGTTAGCCAATGCTGACACTCTGAGAGACTCTGCAGCGCTCAACATCTCTTCTGTTGACATTGAAAACCTTTCTTCGATCCTCAGCAGTGAAGACACGGATGCCATTAATGCACTGATCCAAGACATTCCTCAGGAGCTCGACGTTGATGGTCTCTTCAATAGAAGTGACCTCAATTTCAGCCTCGACGAATTCAGCTTCGAGGGCTTTCCCGAGGAGCTACAAGTGGTTAATGATAGCGGACGGCAGGTACCGTAGCATTGTCGCGCTTAATGGTTTTCCAGTTTCTCCTCCTGTTCATTCTTTGCTGGTATAATTGCTGTTACTGTCTAGTCCTGTTGAAGCTTTCAGCACCAGTTTGTATTATCGTGTACAAATCTTGTAATTGTCGGTAGAGATACTGGAAGAAATTTAAAAAATGATTTAATGTTTCTCGTCTCATGGCTAATATTTACTTCATTTTGACTCACTGAAAATTTCGTTTCATTTGAATTTACTTGAAGGAAAGGACAATATGCTAATTGGTTTGATGTTTGTTCTACAGACCGAGACAATTAAAGTGGAGAATACATCCAACGCCCAAAGCTCTCTTCCTGGTTATTCCCCCTTCTTTTCGCTCGGTGCTGCAAACGACGACGAGTCGCAAAGCTACAAACGACGTCGTTTGTTCGACCATTTTGAAAACTTTGCTTCTGAGGATCCCAGAACTCGCATCCGACGTCCCTCATCGTCAGCCAGCAGCGGTCACGGCACTTTGAGTGACGACTCGGACGGAGTTGCGACCCCAACTGCTTCGTCCGCTGCTGTTCTGGACAACTTTGACCTCTTCTCAAGCACTAGTAATAACAGTGGCATTATTGAGAGCTCCGGAGACCTGCCTGACTTAGGCATCGGAGCTGACAGCGTTGACTTGGGATCTCTGGCTTCCCTCAACTGCCTCAACTCTTCGCTCGATGAAATGATCCAAGCCTCCTACCAGCACAACAGAGCTATGCAGGTACGTAATTATTTCTCGACTTCAAATTATAACAACAGAAATGCTATTATTTTTGGATCATATTAAAACTATAACACTTATGATGTTATTATTATTGAATATTATTGGATTGATGGTATCCAATTTACGGCTCCAAACTATTTAGACTTATTATTTACGGCTCCAATGCCTCATTACCTACCTTAATTTGCATACGGATCAAGTCATTGATTTGAAATGTCATATGTTGACTGGCTTTTAGCGCTTGTGTTAAAATTTGGTTTGACAGGTTTATTTCAGCCTTTTTGAATTATTTGCGAATTTCATTCATTCCATAAAATGTCTTATTTGGACGAAGGATATTCAACAACGGCACTCCAGAGGTAAGTATAGTAGGGGTAAAAGCCTTTATAACGTGTTCACACCTCTTGCCGGTTTGCTGAGAACTTTTAAAGTACTCTGTATAGCGGTTTCTTTATTGGTGTGCTGCATTCGATCAAAAACTTCAACACTCGCATATATTCGGTACATTCGCCATCGTACAGTTGATTCAGAGGCAGTACGTGCGTATTTTCTCTAATGGCCGTTGCAAGAAATTTCATCGAACCAAGTTCATATACTTTATTTCCTCTTAGCAGAACTTAATAATAACAGACTTTTTTTATTGTATTTTATTTAATATTATATATTAAAAACACCATCATGCCTATACGTGATTCTTCAAGTGAATAAGAATTTTGCATTGTCGTATTGTGTTTCTCCGATAGTCATAATTGCTCGTCTCCAGACAATTTATTAGTACAGGAAAATTTGAAAAGTTTAAGACCCTCGCGAATTGGGTTCATTAAAATCCTAAAGATGATGTTCATTAAACCTTTTTCATGGTGCGTTCTGCCTCCTCGGCTTTTTAAATAATGAGTATCTATAGTGCGTGTTGGATTACATTTTGTCCGCCGTCGGGGTAGCTATTTAATCTGCGATGATTTCCCTCGTTCTAAGAGTCTGCAGCTCATCTCTTCTTCACAAGATTTTAGGTTTTTCCCTGTACACCCTGTAAATACAACTCCTGCATGGTGCCATAATATAAAAATAGGTAACAGTTCGTCAGTCAGCCAATGTGCAAACTAGGGCTTTTTAAGCTAAGCCTTAATTACGTAGCGGCCGATTTCGCTGACGAGAAATCGGCCGCTACGTGAACTTAGTCTGTTATACGCGTACTTAGGTTGTTACGTGTACGTATAGGCTACTACGTGTACTTGAGGGCGTTTTGAGAGCACGGCCCCTATAGCTATTATCGCGGCAGATGGTATATAGTATGTGCCTGGAATTGCGGAGGGGCGATGGAAGCCTGCCAGTTTCATTGTTCCCCTAACAGTCGTGTTACAATGCCACTGTAAAATGGCTGGTGATCGTCGAGTGCGTCGTGTCTGCTACATTGCAGGCTTTCTCCATTTGCCGTTTCCCTTGTACGCGTGCATGTATGCCATGTGGGGGGCAGCTGCGTTCATTGCTGAACGCAGCTTCAGCACTAAAGCTTCTGCTGAACCCAGAAACTCGTGAAAAATATGATCTACTCGATCTCTTGTTTCAATTCATTTGAACTTCCAGCCATAAGAGGGAGATTTTTTTGTAGGTATTTTTTAAAAATAGTAAATAATAACATAATTCGCTCCGGTGGACGATGGGAGACATTGATATGTAAATAACAATTATTTTTATTCAAAATAAATCTTGTTATCTTTGTATAACAGTATTACAAAGGTATTGATCCTATAACTCTTAATAATTCTGATAATAAACATGAAATCATAGTTCTAATAATAATACAAAAACTAAAGAAGTAGCGATGCGTCTAAGGTTGTGAACTAACCTATCTTCACCCATTTACGTCACCCTCGTATTAAACTATAAGAGTTTGAAGGCTTTCATCATAACATTACATTCATGTTTCATTTGTAACTGGGTTCCATTTTAATGTGTTGGTGCCGTGGCCGGTTTTTAGTTGGGCTGCAGAGTTATTGTATTGTTGTAGTCACCCCTGGCGCGGTCTCCTCCTACCTGCACCACGGGTCTCCGCCTATTGTAGAGCGCGCGTCGTTCCCGCCTTTCTGGCTGTTGTGCGAAGCTCTACGGGATCTCATCCGCACCTCCGTATACCAGGTCCTGCCATAGGACAAATGACGTTGAGACAACTTTAATTCTATACGCTGTTAATTCTGCTTTGTTAAATCTACTTTGTTAATTCTACCTTGTTAATTTTACCTTGTTAATTCTACCTTGTTAATTTTACCTTGTTAATTCTACTTCGTTAATTCCATCTTGTTAATTCTACTTTGTTAGTTCTACCTTGTTAATTCTATCTTGTCAAGTCTACTCTGTCGATTAAACCTTGTTAATTCTACTTTGTTAATTCTATCTTGTTGGTTCTACTTTGTTAATTCTACCTTGTTAATTCTACCTTGTTAATTCTACCTTGTTAATTCTACCTTGTTAATTCTACCTTGTTAATTTTACCTTGTTAATTCAACCTTGTCCTTCATCTACCTTAACCCTTTCGCTGGCAAGCATTGAAAAACCCAGAAATTAAAATTTCAGAAATCAGTTCAAGAAAGTAAGAAGTATTATGCGAAATATTTATTCGTATGTATTATTAATTTTTTTATTATAGGTTTAAATCGCATTTGCATAATTTATTAAATACTGTCACTACCCCAAATATTTTATTTATAATTAAAATTTAGATTATGCAGATGAGAAATTAATAACACAAAAATTTAATTAAGTAAAATTCAATCAAGTTACCTTACATGATTAAATACATTGATACTTACGCCTTTTCAAAAAAAAAATGCGGAAAGAGCGTCAATTTCATCATCCAAGTCGAAACTTTCATTTAAATGCTCATATTTTAATTCTTGGGCATAGAAGGTGGTGATTCTATGGATGGAACGATGGTCAGATGATTAGGGATATAAGGAATCTTCAAGCACAAACCAGAAGCCGTGATGAGGCGATTTCAAGTGACCATAAATATTAACTTGCCCGTGAATGGGTTTATTCAACGCTGACAGAAACAACGTAGAATTCAACTTTGATTCAATGGGTTAAATTTGATTCAACCGGACAACGTTGATTCAACGAGTCAACTTCGATTCAACGAGTCATCTTTGATTCAACGAGTCATCTTTGATTCAACGAGTCAACTTTGATTCATCGAGTCAACTTTGATTCAAGGAGACAACGTTGAATTCAACGTCATTTGTCTACATGGTGGGTGCCAGTTGCGAGTCCACGCCAGCATGCAGCGAATCGCTTATATGCAGCGAATCGCTTATCCACACCTGAAACATTGAGCAGATGTACAAACAAAAAATGATGTTGGTTCTTTTCATCTTAAGAACTAATAACATCGTTACTGAAGACGGATGTTGAGATATAGTTGAATACAAATTAAAAGATTCAAATTTCATGCAAAGGCGATATCTCTGTCGTATTTCGAGGACTGCAATCGGCTTTTATCTCTGTTTTGATAATTAATGTTATCGACTGAGTGAATGATTTGTAATGTTAGAAAATCATGCACAATGTTAGTTGAGCATTGTTTTAGTATTAGCGCGCATTCAGTGCTGAGAGAAGTTTGTAAAGATACAATTTTATTATTTTCATCTGTCTTTCAATCCATTTGCCTGTTCGTATTGACGTTTCTTGAAATTCTGACTCAGTGTACGTAGTTGACATTCCAATCAGATCCTCTAAAGCATATGTGTCTCATGCAGTGCTGCAATAGCATGCGTCTCAGTGCTGCAATAGCATGTGTCTCAGTGCTGCAATAGCATGTGTCTCAACGTGCTGCAATAGCATGTGTCTCAGTGCTGCAATAGCATGTGTCTCAGTGCTGCAATAGCATGTGTCTCAGTGCTGCAATAGCATGTGTCTCAGTGCTGCAATAGCCTGTGTCTCAGTGCTGCAATGGCATATGTCTCAGTGCTGCAATAGCATGTGTCTCAGTGCTTCAATTGCATGTGTCCCAGGATCGTAATTCACAGTGATCGCTGTGTTAATGATCAGAAGATGTCACCTTGTAGGCTTCATTGGATCCCTATATAGGTTCAAAACATACATAACATGACCGTCAAAGTACTCGGAAGACTCCAAAAGCATGAATCCTCGTTGGCGTCTCGACGGAGCTTTGATCGAGTGTATCGAACGACTGTGTCAGTCGGATGACCTCCTCCTGGCCGTCTTTGGGTGACGTCCTCCTCATGGCTTTCTTTGATCGACGACCTCCTCCTGGCTGTCTGTGGGCGATGACCTCCTAACTGTCTTTGGGTGACGACCTCCTCCTGGCTGTCTGTGGGCGATGACCTCCTAACTGTCTTTGGGCGATGACCTCCTAACTGTCTTTGGGTGACGACCTCCTCCTGGCTGTCTTTGATCGACGACCTCCTCCTGGCTGTCTGTGGGCGATGACCTCCTAACTGTCTTTGGGTGACGACCTCCTCCTGGCTGTCCTTGATCGACGATCTCCTCCTGGCTGTCTGGGCGATGACCTCCTAACTGTCTTTGGGTGACGACCTCCTCCTGGCTGTCTTTGATCGACGACCTCCTCCTGGCTGTCTGTGGGCGATGATCTCCTAACTGTCTTTGGGTGAAGACCTCCTCCTGGCTGTCTTTTGGCGTCGACCTCCTCCTGTCTGTCTTTGAATGACGACCTCCTCCTGGCCGTCTTTGGGTGACGACCTCTTCCTGGCTGTCTTTGATCGACAACCTCCTCCTGGCTGTCTGTGGGCGATAATCTCCTAACTGTCTTTGAATGACGCCCTCCTCCTGGCTGTCTTTCGATGACCACCTCCTCCTGTCTGTCTTTTGGCGGCGACGCTCCCTCCTGGGAGTGTTTGAATGACGACCTCCTCCTGTCTGTCTTTGAGTGACGACTTTCTCATGGCTGTCTCTGGGTAACGACCTCCGCCTGGAAGTCTTTGGACGGCGACCTCCTCCTGGAAGTCTTTGGGTGGCTATTC